TGCTCTTTGAAAGTGATATTTTTAAAGTTTTTCTATAAAAAGAGTGGAATTTCTCAATTAAAATTAACATAAGATGTTGAGTACTATTCACTACAAGGTCTTTTATAAGATAGCTCAAAAATGAAAGATCCACAAATAAATAGGGAAATGCAAAAGTTAGGCAAGACTCAGAATTATACATATGTATCTTTTTATTCTTTTATAGATAAATGTACTTCAAAACAAATTATCTGTGGTATGAAAAATAGATTATGGGGAAGGAATATTTTGTAAAGAGATGAAAAAATATACTCGACATATTCAGAGCTCACCTTTTGAAAGGAGTTTTCTGAATTTCTGTGTTGCTGAAAGCTGTTGCTCTGGACTATTGGAAAATATCATTTCGATCATGTCAGAAGTAATGACACCACCCTGGAATCACAAACAAAAAGCAAATATAATAAAATGTTAATCTTAATTCAAAGGAAAACAAAGTTAATATAAATTACAGCAAAGTTATTAAGTTAATCATTCTTCTCCAGAAGTTACACGGAAGTAGGACAATCTTCCCCTAAAGAAATGTATAAGATGATTAGTAATGTAATGAAGCCAAATTCTTTGTCTATAATTAAAAAGCTCACAAATAGGGAGAAAGAATCTTAGTAAATATTAAGACAAGGGAACCATTATTCTTCCTTTCCTTGCTTATCACATGGCTAACTGTTCTTTATTATCCAAATTAAATGTTAAGTTCTAAATGAAGGCTTTTCATGACGTCCAAACCTAAAGCAGCTGCTCTATTCTATTACCCTACTTTTTCCTGTGCCTAGCCCTTATCACTACACCAGGTATTTTTCTCGGTTATTTGTTTATTGCCTGGGTTTATTCCCTCAGTATACTGTAACCTCCTTGAAAGCCAAAGACCCTATCTTACCACACTATCACTAATGGGTGGTGTATAGCAGATGCTCAACAAATATTTACCGAATAAGTATAGAATGGTCAGATCTAAGTCATAGATTCTAGCCACTGTCAAATTCAACAGTGGACTCTTAAACTTACTTAAAATTTCTATTTTCTTGCTTTTAAAACTTTTCAAGTTTCCCGCTATTTTCTTGCTTTCCATTTCCCACTACAACCCATCCCTTGTATAAGCAGTTAGCTTTCTTCTCAGGATCATTTGTCACAATGAAAGAAAGTTTTTATTTCATGAAAGATTACTGTCAACAAGATGAGTTGTGAAGAAAGCTGCACTGAGTTGTAAATGCTGGATGGTGGGTACACAATATCTACACTTATGAATTCCCATAGGGAATCTGAAACATTCTGCTCAACAGTCGAAGAAGTAAAACTATTTTCAAAGTTGCATGACTGATTCCTAAATAAACAAAAGTACCTATATGATTTTGTTATGCATATACACACACACAAGCAAACATTCATATACATATTAAGCAATACTTTTCCTTCCCTCTCTTATCCTCTTATATAACATAAGTTGTATTGACTTTACATCACAGTATTTAAGTACTGTTAACTTTACATCATTGTATTTAAGTTACAGGATATCAAGGACAGGAATGAACATTGCCCAATGACTGTGCATCCTCTTCTGAGGAAAGGCTTAATGCATTTTCAGCTGCATGCAAGAATGTTGTATCATCTNATCCTCTTCTGAGGAAAGGCTTAATGCATTTTCAGCTGCATGCAAGAATGTTGTATCATCTTAGGTGGAGGTACAACTTTGTTATTGTCTTTGAGACTAAGTAAAGATATGTGTATGGATGACAAATTGACAAAAAGTACAGTGTGATGATTAATTTCGTGTGCCAACTTAACTAGGTCATGGTACCCAGGTATTTGGTCAAACACTAGTCTAGATATTTTTTAGATGTGAAGTGTATTTTTTAGATGTGATTAACATTTAAATCAGTAGATGTGAGTCAAACAGATTGCCCCCCATAATGTGGGTTGGCATCATACAATCAGCTGAAGGCCCTAAGAGCCTTCAGAGGCTTTCTGAATAAAAAGGAATTCAGCCAAGACAGAAACATCATCTCTCACCTGAATTTCCAGCCTGCCAGCTTGCCCTACAGATTTCGGGCTTGCCAGCTCCCAATCACGTTGAGCCACTTCCTTAAAATAAATCAATCTCTCTCACTCCCTCTCTCTCACTGGGTGTTTTTCTCTGGACAACCCTGATTAATACAGTCCATAAATCACTTCATATTCATTTAACACCCACTTTTTTAAAAATTGGAAACTTTCTGAAGAGTCTAAAAGAATTCGCCACAAAATGATAGTGTGTTATAATGGCTATATCTATTCCAAAGGGAATTAACTCCAAAAGAAAACTGGCTCATATAAACTGGAGATCTATAAAGTGAAGTAAAGAAAAAACTATAAAATACCATGTATAATATGCCACCATTTGGGAAAAAAAAAAA